TCTGAATGATTTACATTATTCCATAATTATAATATTTGAGGGGTTTATATCATCCAAAACACCTGCAAGAATTGCTCTTTTTCTAGGACATAGAGGTCAGAAAAGGTTGCTGAAATGAGATACAGAAATGAGAAATATTATATCCTTTTCGCTGTCTATTGGCCCATATTTACAGTGATTTTCTTGTACAGCCACAGGCAGTGTGGTTTGCTGAGTAAGACATATTGCTGTTCAGTCTAGTGCATACAATTTGTATCTTCCTGCTGTAGTTTGTTACAACCTTTTAATAATAGTGGTTGCTGATGATAGGTTTGGTGGTGTGTAAATACGGAGATGTATTATGTCAGCAGCATTTATACCGTGCACACAGGCACTTAGAAATTAGCTCCTAAATATATTGCATATCTGGGGCATATACTTGGATATAAATAGTCATGGGAGCTCTATTCATATCTACGTAGCCATACACACCTGGTAGGTTGTTTGCAGGTTCTTTTTTTTTTTCAGTGGCAGATTTACAATACCGGTACATATTACACACACAGATGCCATATGTAAACTTTAATATAATTTGTTGTTGCTGTTGCTTGAATGTTTATTTTTCATTCTTAATTATGGCTTGGAAATTTGAGACAACCTATTATGTTTTCTTCCAGAGTTAACAGGCACTTGCCCCCCCCCCCCCCCAAAAAAAAAAAATGCAAATCCTGGATCTACAACTGGATTTTAATAAATGTTTGCATTGTACATTGGAGCTGCAGCAAGATGTTATCTTTTAAATAGTTTATTTGATTTAAATCATTAATGCATTTGAAAGTTTGCTTCTAGGTTCCCAGGGGAAGTAGGGTAGAAGGGGCTGTTATATTAATTAAAACTTTTAGTATGATGATTATGTGTGATAGCTAAAGCTAATCTTCATTTTTTTGCAAAGGAATGAAAATAAAACACAACACAACATTTCATGCAGATTTCAGGACTTGCATTTGTTTTCTTTAGAGTGACTATACAATCAAATGGGACTTTTCAAACAAGAGGCCCTAGATCTCAGTCTCCTCTCACATAATGATAAACTCGACTATGGTGGGCTATCTTAAAGGTAATACAAAGTTTTGGGAAATTTTGAAAAATGGGTGGATAATGAATCTTTACAAGTTTGATATATTTGGATGCCCCTGTGGATGTAATATAAGCACTAACAAAATTAGCCCCTAAAACACTTCTGTTTTCGAGAAAAATTTAATATAAAAATTTACCGGTGCTCCCAGTAAATTTGATAAATTTCAAATAGCGCCTATGGCCGTACAATGGTAGCTGCGACCATGAAAATCTCAGAATATGTAGTTGTGATATATAATTTCCAAACGGGAATAGCTAATCGGTCGATTTTAGTCAAGAAACATTGTTTCATAGCTAAATTATTATCTTGACCTTGAGAGGGAGCTATACAACATAGAGAGTTTATTATTTATAATTTCATAACTTCAGACTCGATTTCAACCGCGATAATGATCAATGAATATTGTAGGAACGCATATGCTTCCAATATTTTAATTTGTACCGAATTCATGACCCCATACCAAAACTTTGTAATACCTTTAAAAGCTCTCGAAATTTTGACCTCATGATGTCATATCTCATGACAACTGGACAGCTGTACAAGGAGAGCTGAATTCAGACTGACCTCAACTCAAGAGCTTTGCTAATGTAACAGAAAAATGCAGCCCTCAGAGACACAAGCGCCTTTCCCATTCTATCACAAGCAAGCTGTTAATGTAAATGGGATCTCGCAGTAATGGTTGTTCAGAGGGAAACTTTTGTACATTTTTAGCTCTTTTATTTCTTATTTCAAATGCATTTAATTGGATCTGTGACATGTCATGGAACAGTAGATATGAATTTAATAAATAATAGTAATGGAAGCTTCATACATACTGTATTGCGCACATGTCTATCACGCCATTGTGCTCCTAGTGTTTCAGCATTATTACCTTGGGCTGAGCCGAATAGCCAAATGACTAATGCTCTAGCATGTTTGGTACACACCTGGATGGAGAGTGACAAACGTGAATTAATGCCTTTCTAAAGGACCTTGATGCCGGGCTGCCACTATACCACAACACCTCCAGTTCAAATAATTTCCATACGCAATGAATGGTAGAATGAGATGAAATCAAAGAAGAGCATTTACTTGGCATTGATAAAAATTCTACTAAAAAGTAAAACCCTTTAAGGATTTCTTTATTGACTTTCTGTGTACCTCTCTAAAATTGCAATTCATGAGAAGAGATGTGAAGCGTTGCTTAATTAAATCGAACTGAGAATAATCTTTGGAATTTTTGTTTTTTCATCACTTATTCTTTGAAACCTATTTTACAGATAATACATTTTCTTTCTAAACTAGGGGGGGGGGGGGCATTTCAAAGGTAATATACGTATGAAGAAAAATTTAGGCCAATGAATTATACAAAAGATGCCAAAGTAATATTATTTGGCTTCTTTAATCTTATAAAGGTAGAAAATAGGAAAAAAACATTTCTTAACTTCAACAATATGAAATAAAGATTGCACTTTTTGTGTGTGTCAATCAAGAGAATATTGAATGTCTGTTATATTGGCGCCGTGACATTTTAGCTCCATTTGAAGATCTATTATGCACTGAATTCCCCACTACCACACTCCACGACATGCATCTGAATAAACCATTTTCATATACTTGTAGGAATGATTTTTCTCCTGCTATGTGCATTCGCGGCGAAATTGACGACGTTTTCACGGTCACCGGCGAGCGGAATTTGATTAAGTTGGAGCAAACTGATTGCTTTGTTGATTTCCCAGCAGGGTCGGTAGAGGAACTTTTGTGTGTCTTGCATGTGAATGTGACCATTCATTAAAAGTGGGTTACACAAATAGAAAGTGATTGGTTTGTAGATGTAATGAACATGATTTCATTTAGAAATAGCTCTAGAGACAGCAATCACTTGATGTCAAGGATAGTGAGAGCCTTTGTGATGTGTTGATGTGTATTTAATCTATGTAGGCTAGAGAACATTGAAGTAGAACTTGGATTTTACTAAATATATTGATTCATTGCTTGTAGATGGATTGGTATATAATTTTACACTAATTCAATTTCACGGCATATATAAAGATTACATTAAAATAGCATCAATCATGTTTTAGGGGAAAAGTTAGTTAGTTATTTTTTATTTGTCTAAATAGGTGAAACAGATTTTGCTATTAAAAATGATATAATGATTATACTATAAGATTTAGAGCAAATAGAAAAAATCCCGCTTTCATTTTCTAAGTAAAAAAAAAAAAAAAAAATAATAATTTCTTTTAAAGGATGCTATTAACGACATGAGTATTAAGGTATGTTATATTGTAATTATTTAGAGATAACTAGAAGATCATCAAAATGTTACTTAGGACAACATCTTTTTCTTTAAATAAAAGCAAGTAAATAATTAATCAAACACAGAAAATATTTTGAAGTAGGAATCTGCAAGACAAACTTAAAGTATATTTTATTGATATGATTGGCTTTGATTATTTACTGAATATGGCAGGTGTTTTTACTGCTAAAATATTAAATAACAAAACTCTTGTGAAATGTGGGATTTTGCATGGAAGTAGATTAATGAGAAACATTGCTTAAATAGCTTATAGAACAGGTGTATTTTCAAAGCAAGATTATGCACACTCGTAAGTCACTTGTTTGGTTTTCCTGTTAGTTTGTATATGAGGATCAGAAATTGAAGACAAAAATGTTTTCAGAGCTGAGGAAGTAGAGTATTGTGCACATATTTCATGCAACTTTCCAAAATATCTTTAAACCAATTTCATCAAGCTTCTTTTCAATAAAAAATGCTTTAAAATATTGCTCTTGGCTAAATTAAGATTTATTAATTAATTAATTATTTCAGTTGCAAAGTACAGATTTTGTTAAGTAAAAGATTATTGAATTGAATTTTTAATATCTATTATATGACTGTCAAGTGGATGAAGAAATTCAAATCCTATTCACTCTTTATACACAGAGTATCTTTGATTAACATAATATTGGATATCAAGGCACAGAAGAACGTTATCATAAATTGGTGTACCTTTCTAAAAAAAAAAGAGATTTCCAACCCCCTCCCTGGTATATTAACAGTCTCTGTGAACTTTACATGTGAAAGGTGAAGCAATGGAGTGTGTATCTATGTGTTCATTATATGCCTGACCGATTCCCAATGTCCATGGAAAGCGGAGCTAACTGAGGATGACGGCCGGGCCTTGATTAAACGCGTCCCCCGGCAAGGCGCATCGCCAATAACCTGTCATCGATTATGCCAGCGTTTTATTGAATACATATTCTAATTCTGCTGCGAATGAACCCATTGTGAGTATGTTAGGCTAGTTGTTTTTTGTGTGATGCACTATTTTTTATCAATTAATCATGAAAGAGTGTGGACACGACAGGTATCAGTCACGTTTGTGAAATGAAATATTTAAACCTAAATAATTAGGCTGTAGGAAGATATAGGCCTGAGTATCTTTGCCCTAACACTTTCTTTCGGTCTCTGGCTTTAGTTTTCATATTGTTGGCAGCAGTGTAGGAAAGTTGATACTGGTGTGGAGGAATCCATCTGTCGTTCTGTCTTTCTGTTTGTCCATCAACATTGCCGTCACTGATGCATAGAGTATCGCATTGACAAGGGAGGATATTAAAACGTTGGGCGTTTAACACACCATAGAATGAGACTGGGATGCCATGTGAATATGAATACGGGCTGTGTGTATGTAAGTGTGTGTGTGAGAGGGAGAGACAGAGAGAGAAAGAGAGAGAGAGAGAGAGAGAAAAAAGAGAAGCAGAGGCCGGTGCGTCGTGCATACACGTAGGATCCGTTAGTGTGTGTGTATCCTTTTGGTGCTGTATTTCTAGTTGGCTCTATGTGTGTAGAACACCCTCTCTCTTTTCCCCCTCTCTTTCTCTCTTTGCCTCTGTCATCCGGCAAGTGGGATGCAGAAGATCTGAAATCCCTCTCCCGCTCTCCGCGCTCCACTAATACCCCATCGCATCACTCGCGGGCTAGATCAGAGGAGGAGCATAACAGGGATATTTATCCAGTCAGTGGTGTGTTATTCACGGGCATCTCCGTACCTTCGTCTGTTTGCCGGCCACCAAGCCCCACATTGGAGACTTATGTTTATCATCTTTCGGTATTGGCGGAACGGAACGGAAGGGATTTTTGAAGGGAGCTTGCCTACTGTATGTTTACAGACGTGGAGTATTTGGTGAATCTGGAATTATCACTTGAGTCTAGATTGGGCAATTGCTTTGGGCATTTTGGTTGTTGTATTTGTGCATGAGTGAAGATGTCATTTAACTTCTGAGTATAGAGGGTATGTATGATAATATATATTTTACTGTGTCAGTAGACCTATTGATTAAATTTTAGTATTGCAGTATACAGTTTAAACTAATTCAACAATCAAGATTTAGAAGCAATATTTGTAGATTTAAACATATATATATGACAGATATCACAATCAATTTTATATTTCAGATCATTATCTTGTTATGTGATTTGTCATATATTACTTTAATGATAGCAATTAAGGCAATATATTTTTTGTTATTATTATAGGGAAAATCATTTCAACTTGCTAACCATATCCACACTCATTCTAGCCCCTCTTACCTTAGCAAGCTTGCTCCTCCATTAGTTCCTCCATTAGTTCCTCCATTAGTTCCTCCTACATTAATTTACTTCTGTTGAGTACATTGCTTTTGTATAGCTTGCAGCAACATTTAGTATGTTAGTTACTAATGGGGCTTCACTGTTGAAATAAAACAAATCATGCATACCTAAATGCAAGTTGATCTTCAAACAAACTTCATTAAACGCAATGACTTCATTTGTATGTTGATTACTATTTAAATTTAAAATGGTTACTCTGAAAGAAATGTATTTAAAAAGCATCAGTGTTATTTTGCATCTCATCTTTTGCCTGAGGTGAGATATAAATGTCCTGAAGATGTAAAGTAAGCAAGATTTCAATTTCAATTTATTTTCCATCTTTAAAAAAAGAACAAATATAACATAGTATTGACACATTGTATTAAAATAACAACATAAACATAAACATGGAGGGATACCCTTAATAAGCAGGTTGCTTGTAAGCAGGGCCCCAGTGTACAATATAAAATTTATAACTTTGTTACAGAAATATCTAAACATTTGAGAAAATTATAAAACAGCAAATTAAATATAAATTAGGAAATTGTGATCATCTTAACAGCTACTATAAATAGACAGATACAGGTACACGTCCACACACAGACATACAAACACCCTAGCATGCACACACTAGCATACACACACAATAAGATAGATGAGATAGAGAGAAGGAGAAAGAGAAAGAGAAAGAGAGAGAGAAAGAGAGGGTAGGGGGAGTCAGTATTACAGAAAAAAAATTAGAATGAGTAGGCATGGTGAAAAGCAAAGAGAAAGAGAAAGTTGTAGGAGTGGAGAGAGCTCATGAAATAGGAGAAGAAAATTAGAATTAATTAATAAATTTTATATATCTACTTAGCACATATTAATATTGGTGAGATACAGTCTTTTTATAGAAAATTTGAATTTTGACAGAGTTGAGCTTTGTTGAATACTGTGATCAAGGCTGTTCCACAATTTAATATATTTTACACGGAATGAGTTTGAGGCCATGGAGGTGGAAATCTTAGGTTGATGAAATAGTTTTCATTGACGGGTGTTGTAATTATGTACAGACGAATTAAGAGTGAACATATTTTCAAATATTTTTGGTAAAAATCCAGAATGGTATTTATACATAAAAATAAGAGAGTTCATAGAAATTAATTCAGAGATTGGTAAAATATTCATTTTCTTAAATAATGGCATACTCGGACAGTAATATGGGGATGAAGTAATAAGTCTAATTGCTTTTTTCTGAAGTATTGTTAATCTAGAAAGATGGCTTTTGAAAGTATGACCCCATACTGAGTTACAGTATGTTAGGTGAGGCAAGATTAAACTATAATATAAAGTGACGAGTATGTTTTGTGGTAATATAAATTTGAGCCTTGATATGATTCCTATACATCTTGATACTTTAGTACAGATACTACTAATATGCGGTTTCCATGAGAGAAATTCGTTGACTGTAATACCTAAAAATTGAACATTATCCACACGTGATATATCATGACCGCCAATAGTAATATTATTAAGATCATTCGGGACCCTCCTGTTCCTCGTTCTGAAAATCATAAACTTTTTTTTGTCAAAATTCAATGAGAGTTTGTTGCAACAAAACCAATCATATAAATTATTAACTTCTTTATTAGTAATGGACATTAAATTATAGATATTCTTGTGAGAAGTTACGATGCACTTGTCATCAGCAAATAATGAATAGCGAAATAATTTGGAAGATTGTGTTACATCATTTATATAAACAAGGAACAGGAGGGGCCTGAGTACAGAGCCTTGCGGAATTCCATATTTAGTAAGTTTACGTTGAGATTGGACACCATTGACCACAACATACTGATACCTATTATTCAAATAATTTTTAAACCAATCTAAAGCTAGCCCTCTAACACCATATGCATTTAGTTTACGAATGAGTATGTTGTGGTCAATGGTGTCAAAGGCTTTTGACAGATCCATAAATAATCCAATACAGTAATTGCCTTCGTCAATTTGTTGTGATATAAAATTTGCAATATTTAATACACCCATAGAAGTTGAAAATTTTCATGGAAACCAAATTGTTCAGGTATGAGGATGTCATTAATTTGAAGGTGGGAATACAATCTTTTATGAACAACTTTTTCTAGAATTTCTTTGATTTTGGAGAAAAGCTGGAGTGAAAAACATAAATTTACATGATTAGATTCATGAGAAGTGCATATTGATATAAATGTTTTATGAAAAGTGCTATATAAGTAAAAGTTATTATTATTATTATTATTATTATTATTATTCCATTTACAAAGGAAGGGAGGCTAAATTGTGTAATTCCATATCTTCCTCATGAGGGAGGGGTGTGGGTAGAATTATATTGTGTATGTTACAGAGAATGAATGAGTTCACCAACAAACTGATTCAGCCTCTCACATATCAGTATTAAGAACTGTGAACTATGGCTTTGATTCACATACCACACCATATTGAAAAAAATTCATACTTGCTTTCATCATGAAAACATACCATTTTCGCCATCAAAATTTTAACTTGTAAACTATACATGGATGATAATTATGTGATTGGCATTGCTTTCTGATTGGCATTGCTTGACTATGTAAACATTGTGTGACATTCTTTGTCAGAGATGATGAAAAGGAATGTTATCATTTGTTATATTGTCTGATTACGACATTCTGTGAATTCCTTGATTTAGATTAAAATTAAGCCCTTAATATCCCCATATGTTAATTTGTGTGCAGGGATGGAATGGCTTGCTGAAACCAAGATAAATAATGTATTGATATATTAATATATCATAATATTGGTACCCTTTGTCTTGTTATATAAAAATGCAACAAATCAATTATTCATTTGAAACATAGTAATCTGATCTTGTATTTCCAATATTATTGCTTGTATCACAAAACAGTGTATATAGTTTTGTTTATCCATACATGATAATAGAGACATCTAATTGATCAGAATACTCAAAGAAAAAAAGACACCTTCAAATATATTAGTCAATGCAGACAATTCAAGCTGTGTCCCTTTAACAGTGTTTCATTTCACACCATCTAGCACTACCTAACTTATTTGATTTATTGAAGCATTGCAAAACAGCTCCATATTGTAACACCCTCACACCCTTGTCAATTTGTTAATGACATCACTTTGCCATCTTTAAATTAGACAGTACAGCGTCATCATCATAACAAATGCTAAAGAGTTCTGAATCCAGAGTGTCCTACATGTAACCAATCTAATTAACAGAGGTGTACTTTTTACGTTAACGCTTAGTGCTTCATTAGATGACGTTTATGAAGGCTCGTCAATATAATAGATTTTTTCCTACTCTGTCTGCTAATTGAAAAGATTTTTGGAGCGTTCAATTTGCATGTCCCACTTTTTCTTTTGCTTTTATTGAGTAGCAGTTATAGTAGGTGGTAATAGTTCAGTGTATTTATTAGAAGTGAGCTAATTGATGGATATATTAAAAGGGGCAAATTGGTATAGTGTGCTAATTATTTTTCTTTATACATGTTTGTATTGGACTATCTAACAACAAATTATTTTGTTGATGATTGTAATCATTAGTAAAGTAGTTAATGATTTAGCATATTTTGTAAAAACACACTCATATATATTTGGTTTGTATGTCCGGTATACAACTATAAGTTGCATAGTATGTCATATTGGATTTTGGGTTTGTTTTTTGGAGAAGCCTGCACCTGTATGCGATTTTGAATGTTTTAGCTTTAAATTATTTTGCTTTGAATGTTTAAAGATTTTAAAAAAATTGATAGTTTAGGAATGCTGTGAATAGTCTTTATCATCATCATCATCATCATCATCTTCATCTTTATTTTCAAGCTTTATATGTATGCCCATGGTAGGAGAGTTTGTTTACCTCTTCAGACTTGTGCACTTGCTTTTACATGAAATTCAAAGAAAGAGAAGTTACTATTTATAACTATTGATGTCTCAGATTTATTGGTTGATTTCTTCATAGTATTGTCCGAATCAGTCAAATGATTACAAGAGGAAATTTATTATTCTTTGAGCTGTTTACCTTTGGACAAAAGTTTGTTCACCTCTGAAGACAAAGTCGTCCACAGACAATAATACCATTCAGTTGGTATAGAATCAATGAAACACTGAAACATGCCTTTGTGAAAATCACAATAGAAAGTACCTCAATGAAAAGTTTGTTGAACTGGCATAATGTGTATTTCCCTGTGTAGCCACACTTAACTGTGAGCTTCCATCTGTTCAAAATGCGGAAATGTACTGAGCAAGATGGGATGGAAAATGTAACACCTGACTGGATATTTTGAGAGATTTTAGTAGACAAGTTTATGGAATAGTCATGTTCTCCTGCTAGTAGGTATGTAGATTAATTTTCATCTCATGGTAGTATTGTAAATCTTTCAATGTTTTTCAAAAGAGTTGGTTAGGGAATTATTTTCATTGTGGGAGCACTGTGGTGTCTTATGTTGGTGAAGGCTCTTGATTTCATTAAAGCGGTCCTAGGTTCAATCCTCACTTGGTGCCTACACTTGGACAAGGCGGCTTACCCACACTTAAGTCCCTGAGACACAACCTAGGTTTAAAATGGATACATAACAATGCTGGAGTAATAATAGTTGCAATAAGACCCAATGATTTTAATAGGAGGTATTTTGGTTGTATTAGTCATGTTTAATTCTTCCATGTCATTCCACCAATATTGTTTTTCCAAAAGCCATTCATAATAATCTTCCTTCTCTCTGACTGGAGATGTGTGCCATGATGTGTAAATGATACTTATCGGTAATTACTTTGATGTTGGGTGAGACCTTGCATTGAGGTAATAGTGTTCCATCTCATTGGTGGCTTTGAAATTAAACTGCGGATCTATATAGTTGTCTTAGATAGGAAGGTAAGAGGTGTAGTAAGCTACTTGAAAACAGTGAGAGTGAGAGGGTTGAGAGAAAGAAAGATAGTAGGAGGAAGAGAGAAAAATAAAGGGAGTGAGGAAAGCAACATAGAAGGGCAAAGAGAGATTAAAAGGAATGAAGTAGGTGGTAAATGAGAGAGAGAGAGAGAGAGAGAGAGAGAGAGAGAGAGAGAGAGAAAGAGAGAGTGCAAAGCGAAGGGAAGGGAGGTGCTGTGCAAGGGTGTAATTTGTATTTGTATCTTTTAATGAAATATATCACTATCTTAGTTGCTTACTCATGTACGCTTATTGATTTTACATGTCGATGTGCATAGGAGTAGGGAGCGTTTCTCCATCAATACTAAGCAATGTTCACATACATGTATGTCATTGTGAACTGCCTTTTAAAATGCTGCTGCAAAATATTTCTTTACATTTCTGTATATATAACACCCCTAAAGGCATTTAATGTATATAGCTACTGCTTTTCACCCTTATTTACCATGTGTTTACACTTCAAATGGTTTTATTTGAATTTTTTTTGTATAGGTGGTTAACTGCATCACATGTGAATGAGGCTTCATGAGTTAAAAGGATAGTCCATCCTGTTATGAAATCCATGTGACTAAAAGCAAAAATATTTTTAAAATGTAAGAAACCTGTCAGTTGAAGTTTTTGATTTAGTTTCAAGAGGAGGACATAATAAGACAGTCTTTCTATGATGCTGAATTTTTTATTCGCAGATATGAAATTCAATTTTCTTTGGGTAATGGAAATTTTAAAAATAATGCAAATAGCAACAGGAAAGCACCTCACATAGCAAAACTAAAGCATGAAAAACAGATCTACATTTCATTGAGGTTTTCATGACTAAAATTTCCCCTCATCCTTTTTGTAATTAAAATGATTTAGTTTTAATAAGAAATTTATTTTTGCCTGTGATGAGTCATCTGACTCCCTTTGAGGACTATTTCAAAGGAACGTTCTAAAACAATATTCCAACGTGATACATCGCACAATCTTCTTTAAATAGCATTGATTGTTTTAGGTTTGCATGTTGCTATGATGTACAGCGTTTCTAATTGCACAGGAAAGTGATGTCCTTTGTGTGTAATGTAACGTGTAAAACATTGACCTTGTGCCCTGAATGACGTAACGAGGATGATGTTTTGTTTGCCCCATCAATAAATGAAGAGATAGTGGAAATATGGGATCATTAATGGACCCACATGTCGTTGTAAGCGATGAAGAGTGAGGGAGACAAATCGCTATCTTTTTTGTCTTTTGTTAGTGATTAATGAAGCATATAAAGCACAAGCTACATTGATGAAGGATTCAATGTATATTGATTTGGATGTCTGTCATGTATCAAAAATAGTCACTACCGTAAGTACTTTGGAGGCTTTAGTTATTGAAGGTAAATTTAGCTTCCTTTGTGTCCATACAGCAATGCTTGACTGGATATATTATTTGCATATTCACTCAAATATATAGAGTTTTGGGAGAGTTAAGATATAACAATAATAATAATAAAAATAATAATAATATTTAGCTTTTATATAGCGCTTAATACAAATGTCTCTAAGCGCTTTACAAATATTGTTAGCGGTAAAATATACTATTTTGCCTCTTTGTGTAGAAGTATGTTAATACTGAATTGTTAGATTCTAACCTGAATCTTTTTGTTTTTTAATTTTTTGTTGTCTATGCAGGTAGGAGCTGAATACTGACAACAGAGGGAGGCTGCAGACGCAGACGGCGTTCGCTCTTGCTGTTCTTTGTAGAGACCCTAAAAATGCATAGATGACACAATTTAATCTGTGGAAACCATACTACTAAAATTCTTTTAGAAGGAAGAAAACGTACCTAGCTTGTTTGTTTGGGAGGTTTATGTGTGAGAGGAAAGGACTCATCATGAAGCCATCAATAGCAATTTGGAAATCAAAACTCTTACTTTTAATAATCATTGCCCTGTCATGGCAAACAGCAATGTCAATTCGTTTCCTCGGGACTGAGAACACATTCGCACGATATGAGGAGTGGAACAGGACGGTCAACGGAACTCTCAAATTTGAATTCAAGACGGAGAGGAGAGATGCATTACTGCTCTACACAGACGATGGGGGCACGGGGTCAAAGTTCTTCTTAGAGCTGGTCTTGGAGAATGCACAGTTACAATTACGCTTCCGCATCAGGAACAAAGCTAGGACAATAATCATCGGGGAAGAATTGAGTTCAAATACATGGCACAAAGTCACACTGATGAAAAGCCCCGAGGAGTGTGTTATTATCTTGAACGGGGAGAGAAAATCTGGAGCCATTCCTGATGGTCAGGCATCTCTTACCGGCAGTTCAGATTTGTTTATTGGTGGTGTCCCACGTATTTTGCCTCTCACCTACATCTCTCATCCGGAGGTCAAATTTCTGAATCGCTTTGAAGGGCACGTTCGAAATCTAGTGTACCTGGTGAGCGAGCGACCCAAAAGATGGTACCGACCTGAATCTATGGCAGCGAATGGCATCGATGAAGACCCTTCTGATCTGTGTGGCAGTGATGACTTCTGCAGGAACCAAGGATTATGTGTCAGCTCTGATGCAGATGCAGAGTGTGATTGCTCTGGAACAGGCTACACAGGTCTCACTTGTGAAACACGTAAGTATGATGCACAACATGGGCAAGTATACTTTCTCTATCAAGCTCTCATCTGCATGTCAAAAATGTAGAACAGTGAGATAGAGGAATTATACATACACAGTGAAAGGGGATAACATCCATTACCTCACAAATACATGTAATTATGACTTGTTTTTAATGCGAGACTGAAAAGTTATTATTTATTCATCAGTCATTGATCACTGAACACAAGACATGTCTTTTGCAATTTAGAAAAGACAAGAGTTTTACATTCTTCTCTTTAACAGGACCAAACATCGGAGTAGATACAATGTCATTTTCTCCCCATATGTTCATTAACCATCTGGATGTCTCATTAAAACCTTTTGGATGATATATATATATATATATATATATTCTTTTGGGGGTGCATTACCACAAGCATTTTTTGTAACTATCGACAGCCAATGTTGCTGTGGCATAGAAAGAAACAAAGAAATTGAGCAGTTGGGATCTTGCTGGTGTAAAACTCTAATCATGGTAAGATAGAAACCAATCTGATTTGTAGTATGCACCAGACCCGGCTATAGCAGCATTCAACAGGTCAAATGAGGTATCAGGAATAAGGTTTTTGTGTTTATAGTCAGGTGTGGCTTTCTTCCGATAGCAGGAGATTTGCACCTGCCCCTGCCAGCTAGATGGTGAAATTCATCATTCCTTGGGATGGTTTTATAAGAGGAGAAGAAGAAGAAGAGAGAGAGAGAGAGAGAGAGAGAGAGAGAGAGGAGAGAGGGGGAGAGGGCTAGAAAAGGAGAGAAGAAAAGAGGACGTAAACAAAAATCATAGATAGGTTTATGGATACAGTGGGAATGGATGAGATGCAGGAGGAGGAGAGTAGTCCCCCCCCCCCCCCCCCCCCACTGAAAAAAAAGGTAATACAGGAATTTTATAATAGATTGTTAGAGAGAGACACACACACATACACGCACAGCAAGAGAGGGGGTGGGGGATAACCACTGAAAAGCAAAGAGGAAGGGATGTTTAGAGAGTTCATATGCAAGTACGACCCGTTCATTGGCTCACAGGCTGGAAATGTTATTGATCTGAATATCCGACATGAGCCGCCTGAGCAGCCTTCTGGTCGGAAGCAGGAATTCTGGCTTATATCCATCATTTGGCAAGGATTGTTTTTCTTCAAGGAGCAGACTGTATTGGTCCACCATCCTGTCTCTCTCTGTCTCCCACCCTTTCTCTTCTCTCTCATCTCGTTCTCTCTCTCTCTCTCTCTCTCTGTCTGTCTTTTCGTCTCTGTCTCTGTATTTGTCCTAAATCTCTCTTTCGCCAATCAATAGCATCAATTACTTGTTATTCTGTCTCTATCCATCCTCCCCTCATCCGTAGCCTGAGCAAGTATTCCAACTTAAACCATGATGGAAATAAAGCAGATATAAAGTGAGACTTTTAATTTCCCAAGATGTATTCATCAAGATGTATTGTATTCCTGTGAACTTTCATGATTTTCTTTTTTCCTCTTATGTTCCATCGAAGGATGGATTATATTTCCTTAAATCTGTTTGGATTTTGTGAAATTGCTCATAAGTATACAGTATCTCAACTAGGGTAAAAAAATGTTAACTCTATAAATTGATATATGAGTTAATGCTTTTCTGAATCCAAACAGCCCATTTTATTTTCTTTGATAATCTATACAATACTTCTTTCAGAGGAAATTGCAATGTCAATAATATAAGGATGCTTATACATGGAGTTAGTGTATTCTCATATATATCTATTCTTTCATAACTAATCTCAATCATGCATTTTTTGTAATAACTCAAGCAGTCCTTTTACTTGGGAAATGTAATGATAACTGAAGTATTTATTGTGTTTATTTCACTGAAGCACTCATACCCCAAACACAATCTGAAGAAGGTAAGCTGTATACATGTCTGCATGGAAAGCATCCAAGTCGTGTTTGGTGTCAAGACTTTTGTCAATGCATTTTACATTTTTAAGGCCTTTTTTTAAGGCCTTTTTTTGTGAGGGAGGGGGGCTTAGGGGAAGTAGAGATTTGTTTTGCATATTAAGATTTTGCCTTTTGTTAGTATTTCACTTAAAAAGTCAGTCACCTGAATCCCAAGTGAAAAACCTAGTACATCAGTATTTTGAATATACACTAACAAACTCATATGATAACGCACCTCTTTGATTTTGTGCAAATTCTGTGGAATTTTACTACAAAGAGATTAATTATCACTAAAATATCAGACTTTCTTAATTCTGAAGTAGTTTTTTTTTAAGTTTCTGAATTAATCTTTTTACAATTGTTAGTTAAAGTTGAAGTTGAAATCTACAAGAAAAATGTATTTGTGGTAGGAAAGTGTCACTTGATTACTTAGCTGAATATTGCATGTCTGTTTAGATGTTTGTATTATTTTACTGTGATATGTATGTGTTTTGTTGGTTACATGTATGCTGTTATTTTGTAGAGGTATATAGCTTGATATGTATAGAACTATTTTAACAAATGATATCTTTTTATTCCTAATATTTCATACAAGTCCCGAAGGAAATATGTGTAAATATATCTGAAAATATATTTTTTTAGGGGAAGGGATTTCTAGCAATAGTGTTATTGAATTTGTTGGATTTTGCCCCTTTTAAATCAAAGGAAATTTAATATTTTATTTTATTTTAAATGTTACCCACATTTTTGAAGAGATAAGCAAATGATTTGTTTTATTATCAGTGCATAATGACGAGAGATTTTTTTAAAAGTTTGATATGTTTTAAGTAATGGCAGCTTCTTGTAATATTTCATTCCTTAGTGTATAATGTTGAGCTTTATTAATCTGTTTTTCTTTTTTCTTGAATAAATTGTTTTACTTGAATAATTCTTTTACTCTATATTGTAATGCATCTTTCTGTTAACCTGCTTTATCAGCATGTTTAAGAATTTGTGAATTGTTATTCATTCTGAGATTTTCCTTATATGATAGGGATAGAAAATCAATATATTACCATGGGAGAATGATTTAATTCCTTAATGAAAGAAATTATATATTACACAAAAATCCACAAATTTATAAAGAAATTGTAGCACTGGATTCCAAGGAACTTTTTTTTAATGACATAACCAGACGACATATCTAGGCAGCATTCAGTATTGATTGAAATCTATCAGCTCGCTACCCTATATTTCAGCCAATTCTTTTCTGTCTGTTAACCTTCCTGAACTTAGAGCATTTTGTTTTTGATATACTCTTCAGCAAGTTTCATTTCAAAGAATGGGATTTTAATTTGATAGTTAGAGATTTTCCCTGAGGGGAGTACTCATTTCTGCCTCTCCTATAGTATATTGTTTATCATGAAAATATAGTTTGTTTTTAAGGGGATACAAATTTTCAGTTACGCTTTTCCAGTGAAAAAAGTAATACCATCTACCAGTATACATGTTTATGATATACCAAATTTAAAAGAGAATTTTTCAATGTTACGTAGCATTATGTTGTATGCCTATTCTTATAAGATAGATAGTGCAGTACATCTGAATTAATGTGTGTTTCTTAATTGGAATGCATGCAATTTTTATTGTAGGTGAAGCCATTTTCAAATGAGCATTTTCTGTTTTTGTGAGTGGAGCATTGTGATCAACTTTTTTTTTTTAATCTGTAGAAATTTTAGTAGAACTTCTTTGTTGTGTCTTTATATGTGCATATATTCATTTTGTATTTTTTCTAAATATCACGACAGTCAGTATGAGCGTAAATATTTCTTAATTATTATTTCAATGTGCCTGTATAAAAATTAGACTATGGCACTTCTGAATAAGACTACTTCTGATTCCATTAAAATGTTAGCTGAAGAATAATTGGTGTATGGAGGTGTGAAAAACAAGAAAAAATTAATTTAAGGGAGCTTCATATGTATAAGTAAGATACAAGATATGCACAAAATGTTATTCAAAATTCTATACTTTTGGTATGATTTTTTAGATATTCTCATTAAGGTGAGATTAATATGGGAATGCTTAAACAAACAGCAATCTGAAAAAAAACACAAATCTATTTATAAGGTCATGTATTCCAAACAATTAAGCTCTGTATCAGCTTTTGATTTTCGGAGAAATAAAATACTTTTCTTGTTACATATCAGTATTAGTTCAGAAAATTGTTTTGTAGAGAAGTATGTATGTTGTATATTAGCAAGAATGCAGTACTGTCTATTGAATTTCAAAATGACCCAATCTTTTTACTTTTCTCATCATGCGCATCTGCAGCACCTGATGAAAAAGAAGGTAAGTTTGGTAACAAGTTCGTCAAGTGAATCGATAGACGTGTATAGTCTTTGTTGTCTAACTACCTGCTTTATGAGACTCCTTGGTCATGTAATGTGTTTTATTTGTTTTTGTCTTAATTTTTCGTTATTTTTTTAAGGGGCTGTTAAGAGAAGGCGTCACAATGGAAATGTCACACAGTGTTTGGTTTATAAAGGATCAAACGAAGAAGTCGTAGAAAACTGCTATACAGGTGAAACTCATGAATGCAGCCAATCGCATTGTTTTGCTGAGAAGGAGTTTATGTGCTTTTGCAAAGGTTCACACATGCATTATCACTCTGTACCAACTGAAGCCTGTTATAGATGCACTTTTGCAAGAGTCCACATACACATGACTAAGTAAAGCAAGCTCATGACACTTTTTCACCTTACATCATATTGAGTGGAAGAAAATATAAAGAAGGAGATGAAAAATGGTAATATTGCAAATGTAACTTCGCACTGTAGTTTTTTTCTTCTTCTAGTTTCACTTTTAGCTATTGCACCTAAGGGATCAATAGTAACATTGATCTATTCGTAAATAAAAAATTACTTCAATGCTTGGAACTGAAATATTTTGCTAAGTAAGAATTATGAATTTGGAGAAGAGTTTTTTTCTTTGCAACAGAAAGATAATTAGACTAGCCCCAAATTTGAGTAGTTATTGATTGAAATCAGAAATGTATTTCATGACTGAAATTAAACCTTACAATTTTCCATTTCCCGGTAATGCCTGAACTCCAAATTTATTCAATCAGTAGGAATGATCAAATTTGTTGTATGATTACAACATGACACTTTTAATTGAAATGTTAATAATTTAGAGCCACCCATCGTAGCATTCTTCACCCAAAAACCCTGATGGGGGATGACCAACAATCATGTTAGAATTATGTGTATATTTCATAGTTTGTTGTGACATCTTCTCTTTAACAACTTCATGTAGTACATGTACATGTATATTTCATAGAGAATTTGATATTCTGCAACTCTGCATGTGCATTTTGACATCTCAAAGAAAGACGGCCTGCTGATGGCAAGAAAGCCAGGCAATCCTAGGATCTTCATTAAGAGGCGAAAGGGGGGGGGGGAGAGCTTTGAACGTTAAATCCCCCAATTGTTTCCAATCTAGCTCAATGTACCTGTGTGTATTAATGTTGCATTGTGAGTGGAAAGAAAAGGAGACAACACCACAAAATTTAGACATAATTTGATTCTGTAGATTTGTTAGAGGAGATGGGTGTTGGTGAATAATGGATGATTTGTGTTTAATTTTAGAATAGTGTTTGTAATCATGTGGTATTTTTCTGTGATTTTCTTATTACAAGTGATTATCTGTTGCTTTCTTTCTTTGAATTGCATTAGCTAGAAGGAAATTTGTGCCGTGTATTTCAATATTAAACAACATCTAAAATAAAAGCGCCACTGATCAGTATGTTATTATCACTCTTTGTGGAATGTTGATCAGAAAAAACTTGCAAACCATAATTTGGTTCCAGCTTGCTTATTTTGGTTGTGCTGCTCTTTAGAATAGACATGATGGCAGTGTCCTGAAAAGCTCAGTACCTGGGTAAATTACCTTAACAAGGTCCATTAAGCAGAAAACTGCCATAATCCATAAGATCCGGAGTTGAAAACTACCCTAATTTGGATGTAAATTAACATTTTTGCCTGACTACATGTTTTGCTTGATAACATCCATTTCCATTTTTTTATCCATCAGAATTATCCATCTCATTTGTGTTTATGACCGCTCTTGAATGCCACTATAGTTGCAGCATCAAAACAAATTCCAGTGGTGAATTATGGTAGATCGAAGGAAATGAGATTTAGCCTGCCGTGCATTTACGCTTTGCTTTCGACGTATGGTTTTATGCTAGAAAAAAAATCATTACGGTGATCTGCAGGAAAATGAAAGATGATGATGAACATTGCCGATGCCTTTCAAGTAATGATGTAAAAGCCATGGTATCTAAATTGATCAAAATTGCAAAGAATAGAAAGATACGCAAGAATATGACACTTAACCCATGCAATGCTATATCATCTGTAGCTCAGCAGAGCTTCATGCTGGTATTTCTTATGGGGATGGGAACTTGATGAAAATTTATCATCAGGAATATGTTTTGTAGCATATTCATGTAAGTCTACATAGGTGTTCTGTCTGGCATTGCTAATTGTGGTCCCTTGGGTTTTTTTTTTCAACTTCCAACGATCATGGAGAAAGAGAACCGAGTCGAAAAACTTGTCAAGTCAGTGCGAGTATACCTTGCGAGGACCTTATAAGGTTTGTAGTAATATAAAGCATTGATTGAAGGTAATTTTAACATGTTTTAGTTCAAATACTAAAAAAAAGGATTATGTTTTTTTATTATAAGCTTGCATAAAAGATGAGATCATGGGGGTGATGGGGTGAATATGCCTGTGGGTGATCAATGCCTGTATCAGGTATTGACACTTGCCAGCCATTGAGGCGAATCTTAATCAGTCAAGCTTAATTTTATACAAGGGTGATGCTCTTCTGTTAAACTAGTTTGGCTGGCTTGTGTTTGTCTAAGAAATACCAACCTACAGGTGAGGTATGGTGCAGTTCTTGACACTGCAATGAATCGAGATGTCTTTAACAAAAGGTCAGCCGTCAAGTTAGCGCTTCCCAGAGTTCACTTTACAATCAAATTTGCTTTCATGATGTTCTTCAAGACCCATTGATACTTAACCTGTCTTCTTAAATTGGATTTCTTTATGAGATGACTTTCCCAGGTCTATGGAATGCAGTGAATTGCCAGGTTACATTAATCCAAAGTTCAGTCATGGTGGTTTTTAATTAAACTCTCAGAAATTCCAGGTAGAGAGGGGGACGTTATAGGGCTTGTTTCACATCTTTTAATTCAAGATTTGCGTGTGAGTATACTTTGTGTTTTATCAAATGCATTCCAAGATCACTCTTACAGTTTCTTTTCTTTTGATGGCTTATCTGAAGCTAATATTGAATGATGCGTAGGAGGTTTGTAATGGGATTTTTGGTGTAGGATTTGGCAGAGCTGCCAAACCTCCCAGATTAGTTGGGAGACTCCCGGAAAATCCACCATTCTCCCAATACCCTGACACACATACAAAATCTCCTGGATTCTTACGGTAAAAAAATTAATCCCGGTGGTATCATTTTATGCGGGGTTTCATGTTATCTATTCAGTTTAACCTCACACATGTGGGAGCGATTTCATATCAATTTTCTTTGATCTAGTCTAGTAGATATCATATTTTCATGATCTTTGCAAACATCTAAATGTGAATGTCCAAAATTTGTGAATGTGTACTTGATAAGCTAAAAATAAGGTTATAATTAGAGTCAATTTGATACCTGTTTTTATGCAAAAGGGGTCATATTTTGTTGAAAATTTACAATTAAAATTACAATAAAAACACCATCGGGCCACAGAATCTCAGATACCTCACTGATTCCTGATAAATCATATTCAGATTTACTGTTACTGCTTTTGAAAGAAGACAAAGGGAGACACCTGTAAAAGAAAGAGCTTGTCAGTTATTTGTTTTGAGTCATCATTAAAAAACATTCTGTGGGATAAACCAATCAATGCAGCTATTCAGATGTTCGATTTCAAATATTTTCTTTAGTCGAGGGTGTATTGATGACAAGAAATATCATGATGTCGGTCATATGGTCCTCAGGCTTTGTGACCTTAATGAAAATAAAACAATGAAGTTGGGTGAAGAGGCAGAGTTTGGCATATGATGGATAGAAAGAGAGATAACAGAGGGGAAAAAGGGAAAAAGAGGGAGTGAAAGAGAGGGAGAGATAGAGAGAGAGAGAGAGAGAGAGAGAGAGAATCAGAAGAGTGAACTAAGTGTTATGCAGCACAGAATATGCAAACTAAGTAAAATAATAAATGATCTTTATATAAAACAGTTAGTGGTTGATAAGAAGTAGAATAAAATGCTAGGATAGAAAGAAAATTGCCAGAGTTCGATAGCTGACAATGAAGTTCATGTGTAGAAAACAAAGAAATTATGAGACTTTGAAAAAGAAACATGTAAAGAACTGGATTATATGGAAAGGTGAGGCAGATTATTATGATATATGAAATAACATATCTTGGACTAGAGTGGGAAAGAGAAAGTGCAATGTGGCACTGGACAAAATAACAAAGTATATCCATGCTCTCAAGAGGGAGAAACTTTATACTTGCAATCTGACCTTTACAGCTTCAGAATTCAGCCCTAAAGAAATTTTCGTTTCATTGACTAAATTTATGAGTAGGTAGCTGCTACTGGACAAATCTATTTGACAAGCTACATAATGCAGAATGTTGCCAAAATTATTATTCTGTTACTGTTACGATTATATTGTGATTTTGTAAGGTAAATTTACACAGAGTGCATGCTGACATATTTAATTTGATATTAAATATTCAGTAAAGTTCAGCTGGATGACAGCTGTCACAAATTTACAAAAGAAGGCTTACATGGAGACATTTGACTTAATTTCATATTCATGTCATGTTTCTCACATAGTGCAGGTATCATTATTTTTAGTTCCATTAGTTAATTTCAACTCAGCAATAAAACCATTATAATCTACATTAACAAAGACGGTTGACTACCAAAATATATTGCTAGAGTAAGTTAGCAAGCAACTTGTTAGGGATATTTTCTTCTTGCTCCAACATTAAGGAAGGTTTGTTACAGAAATAGAAATCTTCAGTATTTTATGAAATCACATTATGTACTTCTTCTTACATTGAATGCATTTGCTATGAAATGTTTTCATAAAGCTTTTTTTTCTTCATTTTTCCTCCATCAAAGTATGTAGAGAATTTGTCATTAATTTCATATGAAGGTCACATGTGCCCTCTGAAATGTTAATGAAATAGCTCTTTTAACGGCAACAATCATCTCAAATACGTGAATTATGAAAGCAAAATATTCATGGAATTCTAGTTAATATTTGAGTCAGATTTT